GGTCGTTGGCAGTCCATCTTGATGGACTTTATCGGTCCTCTTCGTCCGGCGACCCCCCGCGGTCATGATGTTATCCTGGTCGTCGTCGATCGCTTCATGAAGCATGCAAGTTTTGTTTTGTGCCGCTATGCCATCAGTGCACGTGAGATCGCCGCCATCGTGTTTGACCGAGTCATGCGTGACCACGACTTACCTCTGACTCTCTTAGCATCATATCTCAGTCATCTGACAATGACCCGCGCTTTACCGGTCGATTCTGGCGACGGCTCCACGAGGTATACGACACCCAGCTCCGCTTCTCCTCGCCTTACCATTCCCAGACTGATGGTCAAACCGAGGTCACGAACTAGACTCTCAGAGATATTCTCTGAAAGATTGTTCGTGACGACCAGCAGTGGGATCTTCATCTTGCCCATGCGGAGATAGCCTACAACCACGCCGTCTCRCCAGCCATGGGGATGTTGCCTTACTATTGCGACCTCGGCTATCACCCGCGTGTTCCCGCGGACTTCCTTCGACCGTCACAGATGCACCTCGACACGAGTTGTCCCGCGCTGGATGATTGGGTTGCACACATGACGTCGATTATGAAGACCGAACATGAGCACATAACCGCTTCCCATATTCGCATGGCCGCACGTGCGAACCGATCGAGGATGGATCATCCATTCAAAGTCGGTGATGATGTGCTTATTGACGCCCGCCACTTACAGCTCGAAGCGGACACGCTTCGCAAGTCTCGACGTCCCTTCTTTGGCCCATGCCACATTCTCCAGGCCGTCGATTCTGATACGGCTTCTAACCCGGTCAACTTCCGTGTGAAGTTGTTCGACTACCTACGTCAGGCTCGTGTGCACGATATCTACCACGTCTCGTTACTGTGTCCTTACCGCAGACCATCTGAGCGTTTCGTTGGACGACCATACGAGCGTCCTCCACCCGTCATGGTAGACGGCCACGAAGAGTTTCTCGTTTCAGACATCATTGGTCGCCGACTCGCCGAGTCACTGATGACAACCCTCCTCATGTCGAGTATCTCGTACGTTGGAAGGGTTACGCTGATAAGGAGGTTACTTGGGAGCCCCTCGAGCACTTGCAGCAAGCTGGCATGTTGGTGCGTGCCTATGACCGTGCTCGTCGTACTGGGTTGACTGCTCCTCCTCAGCCCACTGACCCTCCTCCTTCTCCTCCGGCTGAGGAGACTGCTGAAGTCGAGCCTGCTCCATCTGAGGCAGACCTTCAGCAGCAGTCGGATGCTTTTGAGCGTCCACATCGCACTCGTCGTCGTCCTGCTCGGTACGACGATTGACTCTGACTTATCTTCCCACGTCTTTGACTTCTCAGTACTCCATTCACTCCAGTTTTGCCACTTCAGCTCGTCGACGTTGCGGCTCTTCCTCGACGGCATTCCGGACTTCGCACCATGGACGTCATCGGCAGCTTCATGGACTTCGTCACGATCAGCTCTGCCTACTTCAGACGTCATCACTCTCTTACCACTTTACCCTGTACAGTACCCTGGTTGTGTCACATGATGGTCTCCCTTCGCCGGGTTCCTCTGAGTTGGGTTCTCCCTCGGTATACGCATAGGCACCGAGACCGTAGCGTTACCCTGGCTTCCCAACTTACGGATCCAGCTCCGACTTCCCCCACCTTAGGAGTCATTTGCATGATTCTCTCGCCCATCACTTTTTCTACCCTTTGTCGGCCCTCACGCCCTAGTTAGGCAGCATTGCATGCCTCATCTAGGTGCGCCTAGTATACCAGGCTCCCTTGTTCCCTTGCATGGTCGACCCTCCATAGCGGTCACCCCTTTAGTCGAGCATTACCCGCTGTGATGGTCTATCTATTATGGTCATTGGTTCTGTTCGCTCCCAGTTCCCTACCCTCATTGAGCGTGATGACATGTGTCTCCCTGTCATTTATGTGTGGATGCCCTTAGGAGTTTATCGACCCCTAGGCTGCATTCGCCACCCTCAGAGACCATCCCACCCTTGGTTGCGACACACTCATCCTGTGACATATGGTTGTCTTATTGTTGCTTTGTTGCTCTCAGACTGAGGTTACTGCCTCTGACATTCTCGTATTTTGTTGTTTCTGTTTTTGCTGGTCTTAGGACTTATACACTAGTCAGTTGTTTCCAGACTGAGGCTACCGCCTCCAACATTCTAGGGTTTAGTTGTCATTACTTTCTGCTTCCCTAGGACATGTATGCTAGTTAGTTGTTTCTGCTTTCACTTAATAGGCTATTAGCTGTGACATTGTTGTTTTGTGACATTTTCTATCCTAGGTTGCATTGCATGGACTCAGCATGGAGCTTGCTCGGCATCCTAGACTACTCAAGTTTTTTTTTCCTTTGGTAAAGTTCCGCTGGGGTATACCCCAATTGTTGTCTGTTTCTGATTCATTCTGTATTCGCACAGTTTTGGAGTACGTGCGTTGGAGTCTTGCGTGGGAGCTGCGCTGTGCCATCTCGCTCCTCCCTCATTCCCCATCTCCATTTGTATACCAGGCGGAGCACCTCACCCGGTGGGTCCGCCACAGAGCGTGTACGGCTACGATGGTGGCATGCTCATGGCGCACTTGCTTTGTCCTCCGAGATGTGCAGCCGTGCATGACGAGACTGCTCAATCATGGCGAGTCTAGCGACTCAAGCCCTCACCGCACCACTCACCACATGCACAAAAAGTACAAAAATTATGGCCGTGTACTTTTCTATGTTCTAGCAGAACATTCGTTCTCATTTTGTACATTTGGTGAGTGGTGCCGGAAGGCCCTCAGGGCATACTCACACTGGGACCTACAATCCCAAATTCCCCCCCAAAAAGGTAGAGGACTGGTCACACAGATTTGCCAAAGTCCTAAATGTACCATTCATGTGCCCATTTGTCAATGACCTTTGTAGCCGCGGGGCAAGGGAATTTGCGATCACCTCTGGGGCATGGTCCCACTAGCAAGGGGATAGGATAAAAAAGAAATTGTGTGGTAGTTGAGTGTGACCCAAATCCTGCCGTGCAGTACTCGTGATCCCATGGTCAGTATTTTTTTACATGTATTACCCGAAAAAGTAAGGAGATCTTTGTTCCCCTCCTCCTCTCTTTAACAACGGGCATGCCGGTCCAAAGGAAGCTTCCCGCCAAAATCCTTTCAATCCGTGGGGGTATGGCCAATCCCAAAAGAGGGTGGGATCCGCCATAGGCCCACTGGATAAAAGGTTTTCAGTATTTTTCTTGCCTGCTGTTGTGCAATTATCTCATTGGGTGGAGCCCTCCTTCCATCACGGAGTACATGGAGCGCGTCATGATCACTACTGACAGACGTCGAGTTTTTATTCCACAAAAAAAAATGTGGCAGTTAGGGTTTCGTTAGACACTCCTGAAAGTGCCTGTTTTTAGGATTGCGTCTTCCTTGCACGCAATCCTAAATCCAATTTCGAGATCGAAAATGTGAAAACGGCGTTAGGACGAGTCCTAAAGGATTTAGGATTCCCCAGGCAAAATCGTCCTAAATTTTCTAGTAGCCCCCGACCTACTGAAAAATTTAGGATTCCCGTGTTTCACGGACTCGTTACATCGCGCGCATGGCCCCGTCGACACGGGGTTGCTGGTCCAGGAGTGGTCCGTCGGGTGGGTGGTCGGACATCGGAGGTTTTCTGCGGGTCGACGCCGGCAACGGCCACCAATGGTAGTCGTTGGCCGACGGGGTGGAGCGCGGGGGGCCGAGCGTGGGCGGGCGGCCGTCCCAAGTGGACCGTTCGCTCTGTTGCCGGTAGCGGAGGACGACGACGACGTGTGCGGGACGACATACGGAGGTGCTTCCGGCAGTGCGCGGGCGGCAACGGTCGATTTTTGAATCGCAGGCAGGCACCTTTGTCGTCTACTCTGGTGGTTGTCGACATATGAAGGTCGAGCGGCCCTATCCACCGGCATGCCAGAAGATACTTCTTTAGTAGTCGCGTGGAAGGGTGGCTGCCTGCGATTGAATTGATGGCAGACATGCACAGGAGATTGCCTCTGCTGGTGCTCGCTGTGGTCGTTTTCCGGTTTGTCGTCTTTCTCCACGTGTGTTTGTTGTGCGGCCGTGGAAGCAACGTCGCAAGCGGAGGGCGTCAACGAAACGGCAAGGAGGGTAATGTTCGATGGCGGGCATGCAGGCACGCGCGGTTCTGGCTGCAGGTTAGGGCGGAAGACGACCTGCAACGGCGGAGCCTCGACGGCGGTACGACCCGTCCATGTACACCCATCTTGAGTCGTGGGAGACACCACTGCCCCCGTCGGACGAAGAGCCGGAGACGGAAGAACTTCCAACGTTGCCTCTCGCCAGCGGGTCGACGCAGCTATTGTCGCAGACGGTGCGAGCAGGCGGGTCGGTTAGCAACGAAGGCGGCGAGTTCACCTCACTCCTACACTAAGGCTTGGGAGACGACGAGGACGGAGGACTTGATCTCAGGTTCGGGTTGTGTTCTGGCGGCGCTAGGGAGGCGAGTCGTACATTCATCGTCGACGTCGATCCTTCGCCACGTGGCCTTCAACATGCTGGAAGTGAGCATATGGAGCAGTCCACACTTCGTGGCGGTGCGTCCGTTACTGGCGGTGTCAGGCCATCGGCAGCAGCCCGGCAGCATGGATCGACTGCACCATCTGTCGATCGATTGACAAGTACCTGGCCCGTGCACACAGGAGTCGCATCCGCACGTCCTTCGATGCCCAACCGTACAACGCCGACCCAACCCGACCTGAGGGACGAGGGCTCCCGCATACCACCCGTGCGTCTAAGACCCACTCTGGAGAACATCACACGAGGAGTCTCAAACATGAGGGCACACAGCGATGGCGGCGACGACGATTGTGGTCGCGGTGACAATGCCGACGAAGGATTGAGGGAGGACGTGGAAGCGAGGGACGACGACGACATTCCTATTCGGCCTTTGGGGAAGACGGGTGGGAGGGGGAAAGGACTCTGCAGAGGTGCTGTTCGTGGTTGATCCGTTGGGCGTGGCGGTAGAGGTGGCGTCAGCGACGACGGCGGGAAGTCTGTGACGTACTGGTCTCCGGAAGACCAAATGCTCCTGGTGAGATGCAAGCGGGAGCAAGAGATGCACCTCGCCGGGCTGGGTCATAATTACGGGCGGATGCGGACCAAGGAGTGGAAGTGGGACGACATTGCGAAGCGCATGGCGAACGCGGGGAGGCCTAAAGATGTCGACGACTGCATGAAGAAGTGGGACAATCTCTTCCAAAACTACAAGAAGATAGAGAGATTTCAGAATGCCAACGGCCAGGCAGATTTCTTCAGGATATCGAATGAAGAAAGGAAGGAGCACAACTTCAAGTTCCGGATGGAGAGCGTGTTGTACAACGAGATCCACGCAGGCATGCTGGGGAACCATACAATTTTCCCTCCCAACGTCGCCGACACCGGCAGTCCGGACGGGGTGCAGCTGCCCAGGCAAGGAGCGGTTGGTGGGGAGTTTGTGGGTAGTGAGGCTGGTGGTGACGGCTGCCCTGAAGAATGTTCTGCTGCGAGGGACTCCGACAACAACCCAGGCAGTGGGGCTGGAGGCGGGAAGCGGAAGTATGTGCGTCAACAGGCGTTGGAGTCGATCGTTGACGTCATGGACCGCCATGGGGAACTGATGTCAACGACGATCGATTCGTCTAGCAAGCGGCAATGCAGCATATTCACGAGGCAATGTGATAAACTCGAGCAGGAAGTTGCAGTCCAAAAAGCGCACTATGCGGCGTCCGATGAGACGCAGAGGATGATGTGCCACACGCTTATGGAGATCGCTGCCACCATCCGTGGTCGGTCGTCGACGTAGGTCGTTAGATCGTGTGTTGGTTGAAGTCCAGTCATTGCGTTCGTAGATAACTTAATTTTTTTTTAATTTTTTTTTCACGGATTCTTCTATCGAGGAGCACGGTGGTAGACCGCACTCTGTGTGTGTGTGTGTGTGTGTGTGTGTGTGTGTGTGTGTGTGTGTGTGTGTGTGTGTGTGTGTGTGTGTGTGTGTGTGTGTGTGTCGTCCGGACAGTTGTGTGGGTAATGTTTTTATTAATTTTTTTTTTTCTATGCAGTCATCGTTTTCGACGAGCAGATTGCATCGTCTGCGTTTCGGTGGCTCAAGAACCACAGAGCCACGTCGGAAAGGGGGTGTGTTGTTTGTGGATTGTGGACGACGGGGGTCTGGATTGGAAAGGGGGAGTGCGGGGGCTGTGGATGCGAGGGGTAGGCGCGATGGGGTGGCCAGGGGTGAAGGTGGGTTCCCTTACTTTTGGTTCGTGGCGAGTGAATTGACGCGCGTCGCCAGGGACGTCGAAGGGTTCTTTTCGCGCCTTGGGGAGGATCATAATGACACGGCAGGATAGGCACGGTGGTCTCACGTGGCACCGTCGACGATGCCTTTTCTCACCACATAGAAGCGACGTCGTGGGCGGTCCATCTGCTGCGTTAACTTCAGTCGTATGCATCCCAACCCGCATGAATGTCCTCCGCACTAGGGTGTCTCCATTACAGAAGCCCGCCGTGCCTGCTGCACACTGACCGCGATGACGAGGGAGCAGTACAAGCCTGCTCGCCGCGGATAAATGTCGCCTGCTCCCCGCGGACATCTTCAGTGTCGCAGAGGACCACCGTCGACGCCTTTGTAGCCATCTCGTCACGTGGAGGATCTTCGCTGGAGTCGTCGTCCTTCTGTCGTACACGTGGACGTCCACCGTCAATCATTCCATCGCGGAGCACTCTCACCGTCGCTCTTCTGTTCTTCTCGCCGTCAATCTTTTCGCCGCGGAGCGCTCTCGTCGGGCTCTTCGTCCTTCTGTCGTGCACGTGTACGTCGTCGTCTACGTCCCGCGGAGGAGAAATCTTTTGCGTCGTGGGGGCATTCGTCCTCGTCAGGCTGCAGCAACACGGGAGACATTCTTCTCGCCAGATCGGTGGGACTTCAAACGACGGTCGACAAAGCGATTCCCGCTCATCCGATCGGACCACCAAGCTCGCCTGAAGAGGTCCCGACGAAGCATGTCTACACGAGGGAGTGCACGTGGTAAGAAGCGCGACAGCGTCCCTGACGACACCCAAGGGCAGAGAAGAGGTCGGCGGCATGTCCCGAAGGCGAAGAGGGCGCGTTTGGATGATGCGTCAGCAAGCATGCCTCCGCGCCGAGCGCAAGGTTGGGCGGCAGCAGCGGAAGGGGACTACGACGACAGCTCCACGAGGGAGGAAGAGCAGGCAGAGGCGACCGCGTCCGTAGTACGGGAGAGCGCTTGGCAGCGCTCTCCTGATCAGACCCCTTCGAAGAGGATGCTCACCCCTCCGCCCGAGGCGCAGCAACTGCGTGCCAGCGACACGCAGACAGAGAAGGTTGTCGTCGTCGATCTGGGCGGCGATGATGACGAGCCCTTGGAGAAAAATCGCCTGCGCACTATTGCACAAGGCATCCCAACGTCGGCGGCGACGTCACGCGCTGCGGTAGACGAAAGGCGACTTCTGGGTAGACAGCCCGCCACGCCGTCTTAGCCACGTCAGCGCAACCCGGGTGATGACGGACGGTCCGCCCAGCGCGGCGTGGGGGGGGAAGTCGTGGCAGACGCGCACGCAGTTGGGGGCGAGTCGGCAGGTGCTGCGGGTGCGGGTGCTTCAGGCGCTGTGGCCCCCATTGCGACGGCGAGAGAGGAGGCACCAGTTGTGGTGACGGCAAGAGAGGAGGCGCATGGCGAGAACAAAATTGATCGGGACGGCGGCGAGGCCGGTTCAAATCGGGTACGCAGGGGAGTGATGACGAAAGACCTCGTCGATCGTGTCGTGCTTTGGGTTGATGACAAAGCTTTCGGGACGACGGGGGAGGGGCAAAGACTATACAACATCGTCCACGAAACGAGAGAGTACTTTGTCGCCATCGTCAGCGGTCTTCCAACGCCTGTCGTCCCTCGGAGCGTCGTCCTGCCCAAATCCAGCACGAAGGTAGCTAGGATCACCGACCCATCACAACTGCAGCAAGCGATCTCCCGTGCGGCTGCAGTGGAGAACATTGCTCTGCGCATCTTGCACGGTTGGATATTCAAGTCCGGGAACCGCCCAAGGGGATACAATGTGGCTTTCCAGTACTCGCTCGAGTCCGCAGCGACGGACATTGCGCGTGCAATGTGGTACGGCGAGGAGTGGTGCAACGTCGTCAGTGCGGTGGTATGTGCGCACACGATAGATCTGTCCATGGACTTGCCACTATGGTTCGCCGGCGCCAACATCGAGGACAGACCTAAGGATGACGACATGGCGGCGTACCAGGAGTTTACCGTCATCTGCGTCGCACATGCATTCCACGGGGCGGTGCAAATGGGTGCGCACATCGACGGCGACTTCATCTCGTACGACCGTCTCTGTCGGGTGGCTGACTGCTTCAGGCTTTTGTTGGCGGCGTGCATGTGGATAATGAGCATGGCAGGAGATGATCCGCGCAGCCACTACGAAGCTTTCTACTTCGCGGACCTGGTGGCGAAGCCCACACTCGTCACGTCCATGCATCGGTCCTTCGATCATCGACGATTCGTCGTCCGCGCCACAAAAGTCGTCACAGAAAGGCTCGGGAAGGCGAAAGCTACGTTTGGAGAGTACAAGGACTACATCCCTGGATGGGCACCCTGCGACATTGGTTTCAGGCACGACGCAAGCATAATGGGGCAGGAGGATGCGAAGAAGCTAGATTGGTTGGGTTCGGGGCCCCCCGATGATGACAACAACGACGATGGAAAAGATGACG